GCACAGAAAGAAAGGAATAATGTCCATTATAAAAGAAATCAAAAGTAAGAAAAATTTATCAATAAAAATCTTAAATATACCTTGCTCGAATGTCTCTGCTCCGTAACTTCACAAAGTGCCCTCAAAAAGGCTAGCATAGCAATTATACGGCCCCAATTTACACGATCTTGAAACAGTTCGCAAAGGACTCTGAGATAATGCTCGCGAGAAACTTGGAGGCGGTTCATCGGGCGGTAATATATGCTGTTAAGGTGAACCGGGCCGCTCAAAGCACCGGAGTTTGAATAGAGATCATTCGCATCAGCAACGACTGCAAATTGTGTGGGTGGGTAGGACGATGAGATAGGAGGCACGATCGCATCTACCTCGTCAAGAGCACACATCGAACCGACTGCGGGAAGAGGAGAGGCAGAGTTGCCATGGCTAGTGAAGTAGAATTTTTAAAGCGGTATTTAATGTAATACCAGTCAAATAATGTTTAATAGATTTGCTAATTGTATAAACTTTTAGGACTAGGTTTCGCATTACCGCGTGCCTTGGAGCCTCTATTATGAAACAAATGTAGTAGCAAGATAAAGGCTAATTATGTTGGTAAGGAGGCAGAATCGCGTCCTAAGAGAGTGACAAACAACAACTGTTAAAGAAGATACAATAGAAATGGTGCAAAATTCTTAAATAGATGCGGTCTGATACAAATTTATCAACCGGGTTGTGAAAAAGGCGTCTGTTCTCGACCATCAAGCTTTGATGACCACTATCTCCCACTTTCTACATACATGTTATAACCATCACTCCGATTGCGCAGTCAGGCACGTCTAATTATGTTGATGATCTTTTTGTTTTTGGTCTTAATGCGAGAGAGCAAGAGTGAGCTAAAAGTACAGACAAGTGACTATGATTAAAACCAATGCAAGAAAAGATTAGTTGAGTTGCAGGCGGGTCAGCACCCTTTCTATCCTTGAGCCTATTAATTAAGCGCAACTAGTTTTCACTTCTTGTCGGTATTCGTTACATTCAATGTGTTTCCTATTCGGTTTATTTCGATGGCTTCTCTAATTTTACGTTTAACCACAGGCATGTCATAAGAAGCAAAGCAACAAGTTTGAGAACACTCAATCTCATGTCCAGTTTCTGGCCTGTGCTCAGCCAGCTCCGATTTTTGAACCCAACAGCCTTTTCAGGCGTTTTTGTGCTCAGTCACTCTTAGTCGATTGGGACGATAAATCACTTCAACATAAAAGCGTCCACATGAACACATTATTTTGTAGCAACCCAATCTGGATAATGGGTCAACTTTATCTCTAAAGGTGGGCATAACTGAAGGAATTGTCGTAGTCTTTTGTCGCAAGACTGATTGAATAAAAGGTATAAATCACATGTAAAGATAGTCTTTAGACTTCTAAGTTCGTAATGATGGGAGGATCAGATCGGCTTTGTCATGAGCCAAACTCCATCGTAATCCGAATAATCCAGTATTCCCAGTTAACTGGTTAGCTGCTAGATCAAGGTTCCCCCACTTTAGCCTACTTGTATATGATCCAACTGACTTGTTGATTTCACATCACATTTTATCAAAGGCCCATTGTCACCATATACTAGGTATGTTAAGGGTAATTCGATACTCAGCCGCCTATTTTCTTTTCTTCACTCTAATCAAATATAAACACGCAGCAAACTTTCATCCCTCCCTTAATTATCAGCATTCGTCACACGAGCAGATCCTCTGACCTGAAAGTAGCATGTTCCTCGGCCTCCGAGTGCTTATTTTCGTAAAACAATCATCCAACTCGTGTGATTTCTTTTCTTTCTCCGGTGTCCCGCATTTTAGTTTGTTGTAAATATATGATGGAATCAATTAAATTAAATAAGTCTCACGAGACAGCAGCACTAGGCTGTAAAAAAATCAAAAAACAATAGGCAATGGGACAACAATTAAGTAACGCGAATAATCTCATCCACTCAAATTCTATTTACTAATTAGTGTGCAGCCTTAATCACAAATATGAGAAAAAAATCAAACATCAAATGCTTATGGTTATGCACGAATACGAAGTCAAACTAACTTGGAACTTGGTTCGGAGCGATCCTTTGAATAGGCAATGATTGGCTCTTTGCCTGTGTTGACAGCAGTTAGTGGGGTCGTGCAAGATTGTCCCAAGCTAGCAACATCATCCAGCAGATTGCATAGCTTAACAGCATATCTGGCCTCGAAATGATCAGCTAACCGGCGAGCAACGAATGGCAACCGAGGCGAAAGATGGACAGGAGGTAGCATGGCTGGCCCGGAACTCAAGGTGCTAAGCGAAGACGGAGGCTGAGTACGTGAGTCTGTTTCGTCCTGTGAACCGAATGTATCAGACGATGAGAAATTATACTGAGATGAAACAGAAGCAATGCGGCTTGAGTCTAATCAATAATGGAACAGTCACCAAAGTGGATTGCGCTTTAAAGTCAATATGGGGTTCATCCGTTTATCAGTAAATCATCTATCTTAGAGCTTAAGCAGTTATGAACTAAAATACTTTGTTAAAATGTAGGATAAATGACCAGAATCATCCTAAATCACTTAAAATGAGGTAGGTAATGAGCTAAATTTCCTAAAATAAATTTAATAGAAATTAGTGAAGCAGTGAATTTTACGTAGCCTTGTTTCTGAATAGGATATGACATCTAGATAATCCTAGCGTG